TGAGATATTTTGATGTTTGCTTGCTTTCTTTTTGGTCCTAATAAAATGGATATGTTTGTAGGTTAACAACTGTGGATCTTCATGATCACATTTGGTTTGGCTTGTTTCGGTTTGATGTGGTTAATTTTGGAAGCTGCCTAGTATTTTGCTAAAGACATTAAAAAATATTGTAAGAATCAATTCCTACTAGTGAACTCTTTCCGACATTAAATCTTGATAAATGTTTCACTGGTTATACTGACCTGGCTTTTCTTTGAACTGGATCTAAACAAGAATATGTGAAAATAGGTGTTTTATTTCTTAGTGTGCTAGGCTTCCAGAAATTGATTATATCTTATCCTTTGTATTTTTTATTAAAATTATTTGATGACAGTGCTTTCTTTCCTTTTGTGCAGTACTGGGGATTGAACCCAGGCCTCAGACATGCAAGGCAAAAGATTTGCCACTGAACTACATCCCCAGCCTGACAGTGACACCTTGAAATCACCATAATAAAAACAGTGAAAGCAACTTTCAGGAAAACTAAACACGGAAGCTTAGAAAGGTCTGTACCTTTAGGAACTTCTCCAGATCATTTTTACCGTACCATACAAGTTTATCATTTGTATTATGAATTTATCACACTGGGGGAAACTTTCAGTTTGTAAGAGATACACAAGTGGAGATCCTAAGTGTTTCTCAAAAACTGACATAATGAGGGGAGGGACTCAGGTTTTTCCTACCTGTTTTGAATGCATTCAATTGCTAAAACATCAAGTTGGAAAGTCATGTAAGGATTTTTGAAATACATGATCTTTACACTTTAAAAGTCTACCTTTATTCTTCCAAAGAGCCAAGAATTGAACCCAGGCCACCAATGTGCTAGGCAAGAGCTCTGCCACTGAGCCACACCCCCAGACCCCCCCTTTGCCTTCAAGGCTCTGTTTTTAAAGTCTAGGCCCCATTTGAAAAATCAATTTGTACACATAATATTTGAAATCCAAGATAACGTAATTAGTCACTTTTCCTTTAATGTTGAGACAGTCTGGGTTCAAAAAATATTTTAGGAACAAAACCAATGAGGGTTGCCAGAATCTGTATTTCCAATTAATAGTTTGGATTGATACAGTTAATTGTCATTGTATACATAATCTTTCCATACTTTGTAGAATATTTTTAGAATTTGACATTAAAACTTGTACTCTTCTGGTTCCAGTGCCTGCCTCACAAGCGCAAGGACCCAAGTTTGATCCCCAGTACCAAAACAAGAAAACAAAACAAACAAAAAACCCCCCAAAACTTGTACTCTTCTATGTAAGTTTTTATGATCATAAGCTTTACTCTATAACTTGTTCCTTCCCACTTACCTGTTATCCTATGCCAAATATTTTAGCTCAACTAATAAAGTTCATGCTCAGAAAATATATTTTAAATATGTAATAATAAAAGAACAATTCCCTTTCTTGGGAAATGTTTGAATTGTCAAGTGGGCAGGGAAATGATATAAAGTTGTACAAAATGTGAAAAGTCAAGGTCAGAAACACAACAAAATGAACAAAAATCAATTGGTCAGAGTTGTAGGGGAAGTTTTTTGGCTTGCCTGTTTTCTCCAGCTCTGTATATTCCAAGTGTTTTACAATTTCATTTGCTTATGAAAAGAAGCAAAAAAGTAAAATAGTTTTAGAGCAAAATAATTTAAAATCTAGTTTCATGTTCTAAAAGATTTTATTGAATTGTTTATACTTGTGAAAGTACCTTATGTTCACTCTCGAAACAAAATGTTCTAAAAATATATAAACAAAGAAGGTAAAAGTACTATAATTCTAAAATCCAGATATGGGCATCAATACTTTAATGTACATTCTTTTACTTTTCTTTTTTTTTGCGGGGGGTGATTTTTGAGTCAGAGAGACTGACCTGGAAGTTACTATGTAGCCCAGGCTGGTCTCGAACTCACAGTGATCCTCCTTCCTCAGCCTCCTGAGGGCTGGGATCACAGGCGTGTACGCCACCACACCCGGCTACTTTTACTTTTCTAAATGAATAATTGTCTAAAGTAATTGGTTTTCCTTTCTTTTTCTTTCTTTCTTTTTTTTTTTTGGTACGGGGGATCGAACTCAGGTCCTTGAGCTTGCAAGGCTGTCTAACGTAATTGGAATATGAGCAATAGTAGTTTTCTTTTTCTTTAAACTTCATGAGCATTTTCTACACTCTCCTTCGCTTTCCGGTATTATTTGTAGTGGCTGCGTAAGAGTCTTCGGTACGAACGCCCTGCCATAGGAGTCACCACCAGCCTGCACTATACATTTGGTCGCTATAAGCTGCTTTTCCAGTTGATTTTACAAAACACATTGCCCTGTACATTATCATCCATAAAATTTTCACATTTCTCTGATTGTGTCCTTGAGAGGAAATCCTAGAGATGAAAGGACTATGTCAAAATGTACAATAAATTTAAAGTACGTTTCCTAACTTTTTGACCACATGACCAAAAGTTAGCACAAATGTATGCACCTGAGGCCAATGAAAGCATCTTTTAATCCTGAAAGGAATGGTTTTTACATATTTTAAAGGTAAAAAAATGCATTGCACTGCCTGTCTTGGGGTTCCTGTGACCAATGATGGGCTTATCCACGTCTTTTGTCAGCCACATGCAGCTCTCTCCCGTGAATTATGTGAGTATACTCACATCTTTGGCCTTTTCATTTTTACTGTTAAGATGTATGTAGTCCTTATCTACTTTAATACATTCTTTATAAACCAGAAATATGATTCCTTCATGTATAATATTTATGAAAATCATTTCCCCATATTCTTTGGTTTTTAATTTTTAAAAATTTATTTTTGTTTATTCCCACCTTTGGCATGGAGAAATTTGAACTTTCATATGTTCAAATAAGTTAGTTTTTTCAACTGTGATTTCCTGTCTTTTATGTGTTAAAAAGCACATCTCGCCAGGTGTGGTAGTGCATACCTATAATCTTAGCACTTGTGAGGTTGAGGCAGGAGGATCGCTGTGAGTTCGAGACCAGCCTGGGCTACATAGTGAGTTCCACGTCAATCTCAACTATATAGGGAGACACTGTCTCAAATGAAAAAAAAAAAAGTACATCTCTTACTCATCCAAATGTCCCATCTAGACTTTTTAATGTCTTTTTTAAATAATTAACTATTTCATCTGGAATTATTTTGATGGTGTGAGATATAAATGGAACTTGACTTTTCCCAGGCAGTGAATATTATTTCCATTGGAGTTTTCAATTAATATTCCCTTCCCGATAATTTTGTGATCCTCTTTTTATCATGCGAGGTTATGTATCTCTGAAGTTCAGTCTGTATCATGCTAGTCTTTCATTGATCTGTCTTCCTTTTTTAACCTGTGCCTTCCTGAACCAACAGTCCACAACATTTACATTGTTGTACCTTTTCATATCTGAGACAGCAAGTTCTCCATATCATGCCCTTTTGTAAAAATATCTCGTTATTGTCAAAGACTTAGTCACACAAATGAAATTTAGAATTTGGGCACATTTCCTCAGATTTCAAGACTTTTGCTTGGTACTGATCTGTTCAGTCTTCTCACCTAGGATCCTGATGTATTTATCTCTAGTTTGTTTCATATGGGTGCTTCTGGAATTGTTAGAAGTGGTTATTTCTAGGAAATTTGTGACTACTGTAAAGCGATTTCCCTACCACCATCCTGCACGGGCGACTGCTAGTTATTGTTGGAATAGCAGAAGTCAAGCGATTTTGTCTTTGTACACATCATTGCTGAACTGCTGCTTGCTGACCAGCTACTGGTGGAACCATGTGTCGTTGCTCCTTGCTGAACTGTTATGAATTCTGAGGTTTCAAATAATTTTTTGTAGGTGACATTCACACTTGCCACCTTGTGATACTTTTTTCTTTTGATGCTTACACTTCTTGCTTTTGGGTCGTTTTATTGCATCATCTGGATCTTGTAGAACAATATTCGGTTAGCATGTGTTTTTTATTCTTCATTTGAAGTGAAATATTTCTGGTGTTTCACATGTTGCTGATAGCTTGCAATAGCTATTTAAAAATCTTTTTCAGAAAGCATCTCTCTGGAAATGACAGAACCAAAACCAAATCCTATGTTTTTGTTGTTGTTGTTGTATTAAGAATAGAGGCCTCCAGTTGGAATGCCCAGGGTGGGGGTGGGGTAAAATTTTTCTGAAGTTTGATTTTTATGCTGCATGAATCACCTTCCATTCTCTTTAAATACACACAGCAATAGCTAACGTTTGGGGCTGGGGATTTAGCTCAGTGGTAGAATGCTTGCCTAGCAAGCATGAGGCCCTGGGTTCGGTTCTCAGCACCAAAAAATTAAAAAACAAAAAAGCAAAA